GTGAAGGCTATGATGAAGGAGCAGAAGGAGCAATTTGAGCAAGAGATGGCAGCCCTTAGGAATTTGGTGCTGGAATTGCACTCTCAAAGAGGACAATCCGCAAGGAGTTCGCCGTCTGAAAATGAGGTAACTCAGGGAAGGACGTACCAAGCCCCTACGCGCTTTTCTCGTCTGGAATTTCCCAGATTCCATGGGGAGGACTTTCAAGGGTGGTTGTTCAAGATCGAACAGTTCTTTGAGGTGGATGAGACACCAGTTCATGTGAGGGTGAAGATGGTTGCGATGAATCTGGAGGGGAAGGCTCTCCAATGGCATCAGATTTTCATGAGGTCACGTGTCACAAGAGACTTGCCTGCATGGGAAGACTATATCAAAGAGATGGCCTCCAGGTTCGGGGGATGTTTGTACGATGATCCAATGGGGGAATTAAAAGCCTTAAAACAAGAAGGAACTGTCTTGGAGTACCAAGAGCAGTTTGAAGATCTGCTAAATAGGGTGGATCTCCCTGAAGATTACGCAACCAGCTGCTTCCTCAGTGGTTTGAAGACTGAGATACAACTAGCTGTAAGGATGTTCATGCCAAAAACACTGCAACATGCCAGGACCCTAGCTAAGTTGGAAGAAGCCAAAATTTCAACTCAGCAAAAGAGGAGCGTGATTAAAAATAGTTTCCCTTCTGGTGTGGAGGACAGGTGGAGGAGAGAAAAGAATTCTGAAGGACCATGGAAGAGGGAGATCAACCTTGATCGAACTGGGAGGGTAGATGATAAGGGGTTACTACCCACTCCTAGCCAAGAAAGGGGTGAAAAGGCTCTTGAAGGCCACACCAGGAGACCATTCAAAAGGCTGACCTCCACTGAGATGGATGAAAAAAGAGCAAAGGGTCTCTGTTTCTGGTGCAATGAAAAGTATGGGTTTGGCCATAGGTGTAGGAACAGACAGCTATTTCGATTGGAAGTATGTGCAGAGGATGATGGTGAGGAACTGGAAGTAGAATCTGAGGGGGAGGGAGAGGCCTCACAGGGTAACTTAGCTCACATTTCTTTAAATGCTATGACTCTTACTGCTGTCCCTCAGTTTAGGACAATGCGGGTAACTGGTCATGTAGGGAAGGTTTCAGTGAATATCTTCATTGATTGTGGGAGTTCTCACAACTTTATTCATCCAGATTTAATTAACAAGCTGGGGCTGAGGGTGCAAGAAGTACCACCTCTTATGGTGGAAGTAGCCGATGGCAACAAAATCAACACTAACAAGTTGTGTCGTGACTTCGCTTGGAAAATGCAGAACCAGGCGTTCAAGGTGGATGCCATGGTGTTGCCTGTGGGAGGTTGTGAGTTGGTGCTGGGGGTGCAGTGGCTGTCCACCCTGGGAGATATAAAGTGGAACTTTGGTGAGCTGAAAATGGAATTTCTACAGGGGCAGAGGAAGATAGTGTTGCGAGGGAAGGGCCAACAGGCCATTCAGTTGGTAAGAAGAAGGGTCATGCAGAAGATCTTGCACAAACCGGAGCAGATTGCTTCGGCGCAACTATGCTTTATTGTACCTGTACAGGTAGCAGCAAGTGAACCAGCAAGCAGCTGTTGCCAGATAGAGGGGAATTCTCAGGTAGCTAATTCGACTCATAATCTTGAAGCAAGGGAATTGCAGGAGCTGATAATGCAGTTTGAGGACATCTTCCAAGAACCTTCTGAGCTTCCTCCACACCGAAGTCATGACCATCAGATTATTCTCAAGGAAGGGACACCACCAGTAAATGTAAGGCCTTACAGATACCCTGTCTTTCAAAAAAATGAGATTGAAAAACTAATTCAGGAAATGCTACAATCTGGAGTCATCAGGCACAGTACAAGTCCATTTTCTTCCCCAGTGGTGTTAGTCAAGAAGAAGGATGGAACGTGGAGGATGTGCATTGACTATAGGGAACTAAATGCGGCTACTGTGAAGGACAAATTTCCCATTCCAGTGGTGGAAGAACTGATTGATGAGTTGTTTGGATCTCATTTCTTTACCAAATTGGACCTCAGATCTGGGTATCATCAAATAAGAATGTGTGCTGAGGACATTGCCAAAACTGCCTTCAGAACCCATGAGGGGCATTATGAGTTTGTTGTAATGCCCTTCGGTCTGACTAATGCACCCTCCACTTTCCAAAGTTTGATGAATACTGTATTTAGGCCTTATTTGAGGAAGTTCATATTGGTCTTCTTTGATGACATACTTGTGTTTAGCTCAACCTGGTCTGATCACACCAGGCACTTGCAGATCACTTTTGACACATTAAGGCAGCATAGCTTAAGGGTGAAGAAAAGCAAGTGCTCTTTTGCTCAAACACAGGTGGCTTACTTGGGGCATGTCATCTCAGGAGCAGGAGTACAGGCAGACCCTCAAAAGGTACAAGCCATTCAACAATGGCCTATACCCTCTAACCTGAAGAAGTTAAGGGGCTTCTTGGGACTAGCAGGATACTATAGGAGGTTCATAAGGGACTTTGGGAAGCTGGCCAAACCTTTGACAGACTTGCTCAAGAAGAACAGTTTTGTGTGGACAGACCAGGCTACTGCAGCATTCGCAGCATTGAAGCTGGCTATGAGTTCCCCACCCCTGCTGGCTTTACCTGATTTTTCCCAGGTCTTTGAAGTAGAAACGGATGCCTCAGGTGATGGTATAGGGGCAGTCCTGAGTCAGAAGGGAAGACCCTTGGCTTTCTATAGCCAAGCTTTGGCCCCAAAGCATAAGGGTCTATCCGTATATGAAAGGGAAATGATAGCTATCGTGAGTGCAGTTCAAAAGTGGAGGCCTTATCTACTGGGCAGGCGCTTTATCATTAAGACTGACCACCAGAGCCTTAAATACATGATCGAGCAGAGGGTGTCCACGCCTATGCAACAGAAATGGGTAGCCAAACTTATGGGGTACGACTATGAGCTTCAATACAGGAAGGGAGTTGACAATGTGGCGGCGGATGCATTATCCAGGCTGCCTTCTGACAGTGCAGCAATATTAGCTCCCATCTCAGTCATTCGCTCAGCATTACTTACTGAGATTCAACAGAGTTGTGTTCAGGATCCCTTTTTGCAAGGCATTATACAACAGTTGCAGGATTCGACAAATGATTCTCAGCTGGTGCACTATTCCTACCAGAACCAGCAACTGAGGAGGAAAGGGAAGTTGGTAGTGGGAAATGATTCTGCCTTAAGGAAGAAGCTCATTCGATTGTGGCATGATACCCCCATTGGGGGGCATTCAGGGGTACAGGTGACATATAGAAAACTTAAGGAGCTGGTGTACTGGAGAAACATGCAGAGGGATGTCGAACACTACGTGGCTTCTTGTGATGTTTGTCAGAGGCATAAGGGGGAAAATGTGGCTTATCCAGGTCTGCTACAACCCCTAAGCATTCCAGAACGTGTGTGGTCTGACATATCCCTGGACTTTGTGGAAGGACTACCTCAATCTCATGGGAAGGATACTGTTCTTGTGGTGGTGGATAGGCTCAGCAAATACGCTCATTTCATTGCCCTCAAGCACCCCTACACGGCCCTCTCAGTGGCACAGGCATTCTTGGATAATATCTATAGGCTCCATGGCCTCCCTAAAACTATAGTTAGTGATAGGGATGCCATTTTCATTAGTCACTTCTGGAAAGAGTTGTTTCAGCTATTGAAGGTCCAATTGTGTTTATCTACTGCTTATCATCCTCAGTCAGATGGCCAGACTGAGGTTGTTAATCGCTGCTTGGAAACTTATCTGAGGTGCATGTGTAGTGATCACCCCAAGCAATGGTGCTTTTGGTTACCACTAGCAGAGTTCTGGTACAATACGAATTTTCACTCAGCAATCAGGCGCACTCCGTATGAAGTTCTCTATGGTCAGCCACCTCCCTTGCACATCCCTTACATGCCGGGCAGCTCATCTGTTGATAGTGTGGATAGGAGCCTGGCTGCCCGAGAGGCCACCCTTCATCTACTTAAGCACAACCTCCAAAAGGCTCAACATCGCATGAAGCAACAGGCTGATCAACACCGATCTGAGCGAATCTTTGAGCTAGGAGATTGGGTTTATGTTAAAATCCAACCATATAGGCAGCACTCACTCAGGACTCATTCGTGCCAAAAGCTGTCTCCACGATATTTCGGTCCTTTCCAGATTATTGCCAGGATTGGTTCCGTTGCCTACACAGTCCAACTTCCCCCGGATGTCAAGATACATCCCACTTTTCATGTTTCCCTTCTGAAGAAACATGTAGGGGATCATCCGGTGCAGCCACACATCCCTGTTCGTGTCACTGATCAGGGTCATCTGCTGGTGGAGCCAGTGGCTATTTTGGATAGGAGATTGGTTCGTAGGGGGCGAACAGCTGCGACACAGGTCTTGGTGCAATGGAGCAACAGTTTTCCAGAAGACGCGACGTGGGAGTACTGGTTTGATCTTCACCAGAAATATCCGCACTTCAGTTCTTGAGGACAAGAACTCTTTGGGGAGGGGAGTATTGTTACGTCTGAAATGAATGAAGCTAGCTGGAATTATCCTGCTAGGAGTTTGTTATGCCACATCAGAGAGCGGGTTGGGTTAGTTACGCCATGTCAGCTATCTTGTTAATTAGTTAGTAACCAAAAATAGAAGGCTTGTGCAGAAAGGGAAAGTTTGCGCGGGAAGTCTGTTACGGAAATGGAAAGCTTGCTGGAATGGAAGTCGGTTAGCTGAAGTAGTATAAAGGAAGCGAGGGAAAGGGGAGAAAGTAGCCTGAAGTATTCTTTCTGATTGTATCCATTTCAATTCTCTGTTCTCTGTTTTCTCTGTAATAACAAATCTCTCTTACTCGAGTTGTCTTCTCCAAATTGCAACTCCTGTTTGAGAGAATTTCCCAGTGGTCTATACTATCCTCTGCATCATAATTTTAGTGCAGATTTCAATGATTTTCTTAAATTACCTGTAATATGAATCTATGTATACTTAGCTAATATTGATGCAATTTTGTTATTAAATTTCGCATGCAGTGACTTGAGCTGGGAAATTCGAAATTGTTCTTACGGCTTTGGTAAATTTGCTACTTTTTTTTTTTGAATTTTGGGAAAATAGGAAGTAATTGGATATTACCAGATTTTGCTAGCTGGTTCAATTGAAAATAAGTGTTGTGTGGATTTCTTGTTTTCCTTTTTCTTTCGTGGGTATAGGTGGGGGTTTGTATTGAAAATCATAAATTTTAGAATGAAAAGATGATGTTAAATAACTTGGATAAAATCTTTATTTCCATTGAAACTCGATTAAATATTTACTAGTTCTACTTGCTCATGTCAGGCCTTGCTGGTTTAGACTCGGTAAGTTTTATTGATTTATTTAGTTTTGAAAAATATGATTGAACAATATTTTGGAAATTTTACCAAAGGTTATGTTATAGAAACTTGAAATTTAGGAAAATTTAAGAATATGTAAATGATAATGGTCCAAAAATTAGCTAGGTTATGAACAAGCTGTTAAGGGTTAAACAGGGAGTGTGTTATTAGGAATTTTAGTTAGTTTATCTGCATTGTGCAGTCAAATTAGTAAAGGGTTTTGGGAAAAAAGTATTTTTGAGTTCATAAAGGATCAAATGTTGTGCATTTTAGAGACTTAAAGATAGTTTGTCGTGGTTAAATGTACCTTCCATCTAAATCCTGTCACTGGATTGGCTTTAGATTGGCTTCTGTGCTTGCTATTCAGGTTGAAGCATAAGCGATTGGCACTAACGGTGTGCATTTTTTAGTTAATATTCTCTCTTAAAGTTCAGTTAGTCACAAAGATTGGCTGAAGAATGTAAATACTCTAGTGTTGATTAAAGTTTGACCTGTATATAATGCGAATGTGGGCTAAAAAGCTTCAGGAGACAATACAATGGACAGGTCATACAGGTAGTCTGGCAATTTTGAAACGTTTGATGATGTAAGGATAATATGATTTTCAATTTGTTGAAAATAGATCTAGAAGATATCTGTAACAACTTACTGATTCAGAATGAGATTATTGTAAGTTCTGAAGGTTTATGTGTAGCAGTAGAGCGGATGAGTTTTCAAGAGGAACGAAGAATGGACCAATTTCAAATTTCAGATGTGTGTGTGTATGTGTGTGTGTGTGTTTTTTTTTTGTTTTTAATTTTTTAACAATACCACCTATTGAAGTTCTTGGAAGGGGAAGGGATGGATTACGTAAATCAGAAAATGTGATTATCATGAAAACATATAGAGATTGCTCTTTCTGCCTCCTTTCCTGTACCTTTTTGTTTTGAATGTTTACTTGATATGCCTCTTAACTAAAATTCAAGGACTTTTGCATTTGACTTTAGTGAAGTGGGCTTGGAATAGCCGACCTCGAGGATGCAGACTTATCTGGAATTTAGCTCTTCTCAACTGCAAGCAGAAAATCAAAATGATATTGAAATTGCTGTTCAGAACGCTGTGCTACATGAGCAAGTATGTTCTCGTCTTAAGACAGGCATTGAAGTGACCATTCTTTTTCACTTTTTGATTAATCATATGGTTGCCTGTATTGTTCCAGGAAATTGCCACTCAACAAATTATACAGAGTCAGAGGTTTGTTTTGTTTTTATTTCATTTTTTACTTACCCTAGAAGCTGTGCAAATAGAGGTGGAAACATGATGAATAATTTCATGTTATTTTGTAAGTTCAGAGATGCAGGGTATGGAAATGGAACTTCGGAAGAGCAGAGAGACATTCTCTCAGGACGTCATGACCCAAATGCTATAAAGGTGTCTTAGGTCTTGAGTCTGCTATGTCTTTTCCATTCTTTTCCTTTCATTTATTTTGGCATTTCATGTGAATCACAGCCTTCTATATTCCATTTGGATGTTCTAAGGTTCATTTTGAACTCTGAATCTACAGGAGCATCTACTTAAAATGACTAATGAGCATCGTACTCAAATGGCTCTAAAGCGTGGAAAATCTACCTTAGCTGAGGAAGGTTGGTCCACTTGTCTATCTTAGTTGAGTCACTCACTTTTTTGGAATTAAACATGCAAATGTTCATTTTTCTGCTATCATGGTTGAAGGTTTTGCTAGTTAAATCGAGAGCTAATGAAGTGGTTTAGAATGCACATGATTTCTTAGACTTACAAACACATCAAATAGCGAGATCTTTCCTTCACATTGTTTTGCCACCAAGAATGTTTTATGACCCTTCTTTTTGGCATACTTAACCTTGCTAACATGGAGGCTCAGTTGAAGTCTAGAATGAAACTACGTTAAGGAATTCAGATAAAACTACTTTAATGAATTGAAACTACTTTAAGGAATTCAGATAAAAAAGACTTGAGGATAAAGTTGATTGAAGTGCATCTAATTCTTCCACATTTGTTATTGTATGATCCCTTAGCTATGTTTTCCACCTTATAAAGGTTACACTCATGATTTTGTACCATAGAACGATTTATTTTAATACTGCAATTATTTGCTCTGTTTTTCCTTTCAACTGCATGAGGTCATTTTGTTCCTTTTTTTCTATGTAAATATTAATTTTGATTTTTTAAGGTGTTTTTATCTAGTTACTTGGTTTACTTGAGAGATTAATTATAATTTATTTACATTACGTACGCTGCCCTCTCCTCTGCCTTCGGGTGTGGTAAGCAATGTAAGAGGAAGACAAAATTTTTTCCTTAAAAGTATCAAAATGCCAGTTTTTATTACAGTCAGATATTCTTGAGTTAAAAGAAAGGGTTGACTATTAGAAAATGCAATTTAGCAAAATTTGGGTGAACAGCTAATGAATGTTGATCTTTGTGTTAGGTAACTTGGAAATTGGAAATGGATACGGTGTTCCGGGTGGAGGTGCTTATCATGTTACTTCAAAGGCCAATATCACTGCCACCGGTAAAATTATCTTCCTTGGTCATTAATTTTTATCTTATGAAGCTGGTCAAAGTCTAATATCCGTGTATGCATCTGAAGTCAATAATGTTGATGATCATCAAACAAGCCAAAGAAATACAGAGCATGGTGCTGAATCCAGGTTGAAGCCTGTGGGTAAGGAGTTGCCTGAATACCTCAAGCAGAAATTGAGAGCCAGAGGCATATTGAAAGATGATCCAAAAATTAATAATCAAGCCCTACCTGATAATGCAAGTGCATCTTCCCCTCGTCTTTTTTTTTTCTTTTTCTTTTTTTTTTTGGATATGTACACCTTGTAAGATGTAACATGCTCTTATGGAAGCGATAAATCTTGAGGATGCAACAATAACATTTGTTAATAGTTTTGCCATTAAGTGATATACCTGTCATATGTGTCTATATATCTTTTTGTATGGTTCTCTCAAAGGTGTCAAATGAGTTTTCTTATCTTGGTACATTTGGTTTTACCTTTTATTTGCTCGTCCAGTTAAATGTTCCTTTGTACTTTTCTTTCTAGAGTACAGAAGCTGCGTCATCTCAGAACATGGCAATTGGGAAGCTTCCTCCAGGATGGGTGAGCATTAATTCCTTTTCCCGATTTTTTTTAATTCTTTTTCTTAATGTATTTCTGAGTAATTTCTATATGCATCCCTGATTTTTGGATTGAATGAAATTGGATTTTAATGGATGATGGAGGATGACATACAGTTAAACAGCTGTTCTATGTGGTTATGTTATGTTCTTTGTAACTAAGAACCAGCTATTTTACATGGGGAATAATGTCAGGAAACATGGCCTAAACATATGCTTAATGTCTGTAACAAAATGGTTCGTCTTAAGTCATTTTGGTAAAACAAGGACTGAGAATGATCCAACTGACAATATAGTCTCCACTGGTTTAGAATAGAAAAGTATTTTCTGGCTTCACATTGCCCTAATTGTTTGTAAATACCCATCCCAACTCTCTTGGAGTTGGGCAAAGTTCAAACTAGGAAATTTGAAAGGTTACTTGAGTGGAAGTCTGCTTGGGAGGCCAATACTGTAAAGTCTTTCCCATTGATTATCTCTTCTTAAATGAAACTCAGTTCATCATTTGAGGTTTCTTTAAAATTCTTAGGAACTCCTCATGCAGTTCATACAAAGTTATGCTCTGTTTCTCCCTACTAAATTAAGATATATTCCATTTTCTTATTTGATGTTTAACTTAGTGAAATATCCATCAGATTGAGGCAAGGGATCCTGCAAGTGGCTCTTTATATTATTATAATGAAAATTCTGGGACAAGTCAGTGGGAAAGACCAACCGATGCTGCACCCATGTTTCCAGCAGCATCACATTCAGAACTTCCAGAAGATTGGCAAGAGGCGGTGGATGAAACGACTGGTATGGTCTATGTGATGGCTGCTCACCTGTAGATTCCTCTTTTGGTTACATTAGTTTCGGGATGATTCTTCTCAAATTATGCTGAAGTTCTAATAGTTTTAGTTTTCACTTAGGTAATGCTTACTGGAACCTTTGAGGATGACATAACACTCTCACTTATCCTTTTCATGATTCATGTGTCTTCACAGGTCAAACTTATTATTACAACAGGATGACCAATGCATCACAGTGGGAGCGCCCAGGAACATCACCTAAAATCTCCTCTCATCCTCAGGATGATAAATCATCCATATCAAATAAATGCATGGGATGTGGTGGATGGGGTGTAGGCCTCGTACAGACATGGGGTTATTGCAATCATTGCACTCGGTATGGCTATTGGTTGAGCTCATTGTTTTTTTGTTGTACTGCTACTTACATAATTTGTTTTAGGTGATGTAAATGTTTGACAGAAGAAAATGACTAATATTAGGTTCTGTTTCTGTTTAATATTTGTAATGTTCCTTTCCTTTGTTGCTTTATTTAATTTTTACACTCGTGTATTTGAGTGTTACTACTTAAAAGGGCCTTTCATGCAGCTTCAATAGCTGGGGTGTTTTTTTTTTTTTTTGTCAATAGCTGGGGTGTTGAGACCCCATTAATTCAGGTTCTTTGATAGTAAAACTAATTGCATATATGGAGGGAAAAAAATTCAAATCTGTATGAGTGGCAAGCTTGTGACATGCCAAGTATACTAGACAGATTTTTGATAGTAAAATGTGCCCTTAAAAACAAGAAAAAAAATAAAAGGCAGGGGAGGATGGGATTTAAGAATCGGGAAAAGGGGAATGGGGAATTGGGAAAGGGGAATGTGCACTTCTTGAGTAGTGCCAAGAATTGGTTTCTTTTGTTAATGCTGTTTTCAAGTGTCCATTTATCATGTCTACCCTGCGATTAAAGACTTGAAATTTTTTTCATTGGTATTGGGTAGATATATTTGTTCTACAAATTGCTTCTGCTGATGCATAATACCCTTTTTTCATCCTATATTTCATATTCACTCACATCGCTTTCGTCATGTTCACGTTGTAATGAATTTGATGCCCTGGTGATTATGCATGATCCCCGAAAAAACTGAGTAAAGACAATATTTGTGGAAGGTTTTATTTGAAATATATTTCAGTAGGTGATCATAGATGGATGCTTATTCATTTGAAAATGCTAACTATAGATATGGCTCATGTGTGACAGTTGAGCTTCGGCTTTTCATAGAAGTCCACTACAGCTTTTTATGATTTTCTTTTCAACTAATGAAAATTATAGTGATTAGCTTCTTGCAAGTATTTTTCTGTTCTACAAATATAAACTGCTGTCTTTACTTAGGGTTCTGAATCTTCCTCAAAGCCAATACTTGTCGACACAGCCGGAAACCAGGCAGCATGGCTCCAATGCTGTGAAAACTGGAGAAATTTCGGACAAGGGATTTTCCAAGCCGAGGTAGGCTACTATATCTGGAAACTTGAATCACTGATCTGGAGATGATTGTAACTGTACCATCGACTTGTAATTGTTCACCTTGAAATTATGATTTTACGTTGCCATACAGGTACGGCACTTGAAATACTTTTGTTGCTTAATGTGTGTGCCATATAAGCAAACACACTTGTAGATTATTATAATCAAATGTCCTTGGTTAATTACTTTTAGGTAGTTAAAGCAGTGTTCTCCTTGGAATAGACTGCACAGGTGCATTGGAGGGTCTTAGGGCTTTGGAATTGGTTTTACTTGCTCATTTGCTTGGTCCAATAGGCATTTGTGAAAGGATATTTTGAATTAGAACAGTGATTTTGTCACATTTATATACCAATTTGTGGGAAGACACAAGGGTGGTGTTCTCATGCAAAAAATTGAATATGGGTGATGTTTCTGTAATTGACTCCATATTAAGCAGAGTATTCACCTGTCCACAGTTAGTTTAATATGAAACATGGAAAGTTGTTTAGAGTCCATCCCTGCAGAATTAACTGACCTTCTGGGTTGCAGGTCTAACATGAAACCACCAATGGGAAGAGGACATAAAAGAGATACTAGAAAACGTTCATATTCTGAGGATGATGAGTTGGATCCCATGGATCCAAGCTCGTATTCTGATGCTCCGCGTGGTGGTTGGTATGTTTTTTTCCTTGTTTAATTCAAGTAATTGACCCTGTAAACTCTTTCTCTGCTCTGTCTGTTCTTTCCTTCATGGACATTTCTCTGTTACTTATTATCTTACTAGTTAGTTTATTTAGACAAATCAAAACTTGCAAGAAGTTATTATCAACTTTAGTTATTGCTCCTATGCAGGGTTGTAGGCCTGAAAGGAGTGCAACCACGGGCTGCAGACACCACTGCCACGGTATACATTGTGTATTTAATTCCGGAAATTATATTTTTCATACTTGCATGCTTCTTTTATAGGGAAATAGTAGGTATTCCTGCTAAACAGTAGCCTGGCTTTTGACATGAATGACTTGTCCTTTGGTGGGATTGGAAATCAGATGGGTTGAGGTGGGAGGAAAAAAATTCCTAGATTTTGTTCATTCTTTTGTTAGAATGAAATTGTTAGTGTCATTTGGAAATATCTTGTCGTAAATGTTTAAAGGAATATACATATCTGATTTAGTAAGTATTTCTCTGATTGCTATAAGCGGTCCAGGATAAAGTAAGGTATTATTAGTACAACTGTAAGAATTGGTGCGGTCGAACTTGTGTGCGAGTATGTTTGTTTCATTTAGTCAGTTGCTTGTTTTCCTCACATCAATGGTAGGTAGTTATATTTGTCAGGTTTATACAGGCTCTCATGCAAAACTTCACAGCTCACCTGTTATTGTTTGTCTCTCGCTTCATTCCAATGAATTGTTTCTGGTACTTTTGAATTCAGGGTCCTCTCTTTCAGCAACGTCCTTACCCATCTCCTGGAGCAGTCCTGCGGAAAAATGCTGAAATTGCTTCACAAAAGAAGAAGCCTAATTCTAATTTCGCTCCTATATCTAAGAGAGGTGATGGAAGTGATGGACTCGGTGATGCTGACTGAACACGCTTGAGAATATCATGTGTTCTGGACTTGGTTTGTAGCTTGCCTCTTAATATAGTGTTTCTTTAATTTAGTATGTAAAAGGGACCACTTTAGCTTTGAACATTCGTGCCTACTTTCCTATCTTTTCAATGGAGGGGAGGGGTTATTTGAAGTTCTATGAAATGTGAGGATTTTGGAAATTTTGCAGAGAAACTTTTGAGACTACGTTGGCAACAATGCTAGGATGACAGAGCATTCTTGTGTATTCCAACCCAAAGTTTTATGAGAAATATGCTTCTGAGACAATACTCAACAAGCACTAAATTAGGTATCTTATTTATACAAAAGTTACTCAGGAAACTCATCACTCTGCCAAATAGCTATAGTCCATTATTCTAATTTTGACCATGTTTACAGCGGTAGTTGCACAGAGCAGGAGTGTGGGGACGAGAAGATATTGTATGCTCCACCTGGTGCATTAGTATCAATTGTGTGGTGAACCTGACCATATATTTTTTTTAAGTTGACAGTAGATAAGAAATGATCTACAACTATTGTTTGATTAGATTATTAGTACTAATGCAATATGTGCAGTAGTTTATCAGTGTCATTTCATTTAAACATAATAATTAACTATGTCTCCATAAAAGGTTAACTTCCCAAACGACGGCTCTAATATTGGAACAGAGGGCGTACAAACTTATTCATCAGTGCATTTGTGCCTTGCATTAATTCCACTCTTCGTAAGGTTGCATTGGTGTCTTGAATTGATTCCACCCTTCCTAAGTGAATCAGTAGAAAGTGATCCAAGGGAAGAATGGCTTTGTACAACGGGTCTCAAATTGGCACCCGATGGCCACTAGTGTTGGTGGTTGTTGTTGCTATTTCTTTTCCCTTTTTCTTTTTTGGGTAAACAAAATGCAAGTTAAATTAAAAAATTATTTGGAATGTGAAAGGTAATAAATTTGAATGAGTGTTTAAATGTTAATTAAGTTGTACTACTTATTACCTACCTACTAGGCGATGGTTAGAAAAATCCTTATTTGAATTGAGAAATTTAACAAAAAATTTGAAATTTATTCAAGTAGCTCGAGACGTCTGGATTATTTAAGGAGCATTTAAATTTACGATTCACCAGTTATCAAAATATATTTTAAACACTGTAATAAGGTGTGATTTACAAATTCAAATATCTCCTAAATAATCTATACAATTAGAGGAATTTGAACGACTTCAAATCCTTCAATCCAAATGCAACCTATATGACTTTGAATGATGAAAGTTTAAGGCTGGTGCCTAAAAATAACAGATCTAAAAGAACCTACAAATCCTTCTTATGTCTTAAAGATGTCCGAGTTTAGATTCTGCATAATAGATCTAAAGAACCTACAAATCTTTCCCATGTTTTATTTCTGGAAAAGGCACCCCATCCATTGATGTCGATGTTGAAATTTTGTCTTATGTGAGATGTTCTTGACACGAGAATAAAACCACTGTAGTAACAGTTTGTAAATTGCTTCACCAAAATTTCAAATGTCCATAGGCTATCTCTACCTATTATATAAGAAAAAAGCCAATTATATAAGAAAAAAGCCAAGTTACTATAGCACCCCATCTTTTTGACACATGTATGGCACATATTCTTGACAAGTGGATTCTTGGTCATTTTAGCTAAACTTTTCCTTCCCTTTTTTGATTCAATTGGGCCAAAATAATTAAAATATTTTTTCTCCTTCAGAAAATCAACCGTGTTGCTTCTTCTTCTTCTTGCGGCAAGTGCTGTTATTTTTTATTTTTTAAAACTAATCTAACTAAAATTGTTGCCATGTTCTTTTTTTTTTCATTGAGATGATTAGCTACTTCATATTTGCTCTATTCTTCGATCATAATGTTATAGTCAATTGGCATTTGTTTGTTAAATTTATAGGATGATGCTATTATTTGGTATTTTTCATGGATAAAAGGTGAAATATTAAAATATGTAAAAAGATTTTAGAATTCATTTTATACCAATGATCATTTTCTATGAAGAATAGAACAATAATTCTTTCTTTTCTTTTCTCCTCCCACGATTTGATTTCTTACTTCACATTTTTTTTTCTTTTTCTTTGTTTTTTGGTTACATTTTGTAATTATATATCTACAATTTTGTGTATTTTTTAAAGAGAAAAGATATATCATGTGATGCTTCCACCAAGATAAATCTAGCTAGGCATTCTTCTACCTCTGTGTTCTATAAGATTTTGTATATATTTAAACTAACGTTAATTTTTGTTTGTTTTTTAATTATTCAGGTTCTGTAGTATCAATTGGGTTGGCATATAAAAATTGTAGTTGGTGGTAGAAGTCACAATTAAAAATTGTTAGAAAATTCAATTTTGATTAGGAAGATGTTTTTGCAATAAAAAAAATGGTTCAATTCTAATTTGTATATGTAGATCTGGAAACGTAGCAATTCATATTTTTTATCTAACCTTGCTATTTATATTCTGGAGCTGCAGGATAATGTTGTCACCTTTAAACGGGATTTAAATAAATAAAGAAAGAAAAATGTGAAACTTTAGAGTAAGTTATATTGATGTTAAAGATTGTGACATGTCTTAGTGGCTTTCTAAACTTTTTCTCATTATTAAAATACTGGAAGCATTATGACTGCTTTTGATTTAGTTACAACTAAGACTATGCTACTAATTAATACAGCAATGCACTTGTAGTGTATTGATTTTCTCTCTTTTTTGGGTATTATCATAATAATAGTTCAAAAATCTTTATTCAAATCACAATAAATAGGGGTATTAACTTCATAGATGGAATTTCTCTTCACAACAAATTTTGAGGGAAATTTTATTTATACTCCATATTTTATTAATTGTATTCCTACAATAAATAAAAACTATATGATAAAAATAATAGTGAAAATGTGATTAACAAAAATGAGAGTTCAAATAACATTTGTTAATTTTAATTGTTTTGAGGCCCAATTTTCTCCTATATTTCTATTGATTTATCATGTGCCAAAATAATTTGATGTTATGTGTTTGACTAAATTTCTAGGGGGCCAAAGCTGTGCTTTGCACAGCTCAAGTACCTCTAGTATTCGTTATATCATTCTGTAACGGATTTTTCTACCAGGTGTCCATAGCATATTCATTAATACATTTAATATTCACCTAATCTAATATATTTATACACATACTAACAATTATTATCCTCTCTTGCATTTATATACTTCCTTATTTAATCTTACATACACTTCCTTATATTTATTTACTTTCCCTAATTAATCTCATATTTTTAAAAATGTGAAACCTAAAATATATTTTAATAGGACACTCGTTAGACAAACTGTCCTGTAACTCAATACAAAATCATTCTTGTGCTCAGTAGATGGAACCAGAAAATTTCTTTTGAGGGAGCAAACTTTGATTCAATTAAATCATTAGTATGTAGTTTAAAATATTTTTAATTTTTTCAATGGGAAAAAGTTAAATTCATAAAACTTTTAAGGATTGCTTTCTTTAAGAGTTTTTGTAAAAAATTGTAACGATTTTGATAGATGTGAGATAAAAAGGTGATTGAAAAATGTGTTCATGAAAATGTAAAAATTTTTCTGCAAAAAATCACAATCCAAGCAAGGAATAATTTTTCGAAGCTTGGGGCGGGGTCCTCCCCGCCGACCCCTAGTTCCGACCCTGCTTGTACTACGACCTGGTGTCTGTCAGGTTTTTCTTTCTAAAACTGGGGAGGAGTGGGTGACAATCTTTGTATTGGGAAGGATAAGAGCAATCAGAATTAACCCATAACTTAGTCATAACAAATTTAATCCAATGCTGAAGGATTTTTCTTCTAATGCTTCTAATATGCACTCATGAGAAAGCTGATTGTTGGCGAATTATTATAGAAACTATTACAAATCTCTTGGAAATTAGTGTTCTAAAACAACAAATTGCAATTAATACATGTGGGGAATCTTGCTTATCAAACTATTTAAGAAGGCCTGGAAATGCCATGTGAAACTGAAAGTGGTCCTTGTGGAGTGGTTAGGAGGAGGATGGAAAAGGACTCAAAATTCCTATCTAGATGGCAGTTTCTCTTTTTGGGAAAAATCATGATCTCATTATTCAATCCCTGTCCACTAAAATTCTTTCTCTTGAATTGATCATGACTTAACATTTGGCTTGGCCCCCCAACTTTGTCATATCCCTATTCATGTCGAGCATGCAAGTGCATCCTCCCCAAGTCGAAACTCCTCCTGTCTATATCCATGTGGGATGCTAATAATTAACTTGTCAAAGAGAGTTGTTCAGTCTCCAAGGATTTGTAATCATGGTTAATTGTCTTATGATTAACAAGAAATTGTTGAGCTACTCTTGTGATATATAATTGTCATTCTTTTTTTTTTCTTTCTCTCTTTTATGAACTCACCATGCCTGCATTTTTATGGTGGGGAAAATTCATGTGGAAAGTAATACTTAAATAGAGTATTATTTGAAATATTATTTGGAATAATTACTGTAGTACTTTTTGTGATTTGATGTATATGAGATAAAAAGTAGTTAGGAATATAAAAAGGTGGATTGAGGAATGTGTTTATGACGCAAGCGAAATATTATTTAAAATAAATTTGCAATCCAAACACAGTCACTAAGCTAGTCCTTGGAGAGTAATTTGGAGTTCTTTTGTGTTGGTCAAAGAGTGATTGGAAAACATAGGAGTCGAATCACTTGGGCATTTTACAAAGATGCCAGAATTGGCACTTGTTGTTATGAAACAATATTGGTGGTTATATGTCAACAACGACATTTTTGTTAGAGGAGATTGCAACACAAGTTGCTGAATGAATTTGCAGCAAAAACTCCAAGAACATATAGAAATTTTACATTCATTATAGTTAGGCAAACAAATGAAACAATGAACATTTATTTTCTGATCTAGCTTGGACCACAGGATTCAATTGTGATGCAATTTAATGGATGCATAAGTTTTAAGCTATTTGATATTAGTGGTGTATGTTAAAGAAGTTTCATTTCTGTCAAACTATAGGCAACACATGTAAGTATGACTTTCTTTTAGCTTCAGCTTAGTATTTACCTGATCAAGCATCGATTAGTTATAATCTTGATTAATCATAAGATTTTTGTCTTCATTTTACAATTATGGGCTCCATATTATCCTATTGAAAACAATTCATATCATACCACAAATTTTGATTACCTAAATCATGGCGGTCCTCTTCTTCCTAGGAGTATTTTCAACAATGAATGGTAATCATTTTCTTCTTTTCCTTGATCATCAACTAAGAATTCAATGTCCGGATTGCATTGAGATGGTAAATAAAAAATGTAACAATCCTCAAAATGTAAATGAAAAAAAATGAAAGTAGCACATGGACTTATGCTACAAGTTTGCCATGCACCTCAAAAGGATTGGAACATAACCTAATTGTCCTTCCAATGCATTACAACTTTGCCAAACACTTCATGCATGTCAATTTTCGAATATAACTCTTCATCATTTTTTTTCTTTTTTGGGTACATTATAACTCTTCATAATTGTTTCTGCTATATATGTGTGTGTATAATTGTTTTTTATCACGTTCTAAAGACACAAATTGAGGGGAGGGGGGAGAAAGTAAAAGGAAGACCAAGATCAACATTTAATCCCTCGTGTCCTCACCAAATTGTGGTTTTGGGAAAAAATATGAGCTATGATCTAAAACTAGTATGTTTATATATCTACAAAAGTGGGTTTGCTTCTATTTCACGAGTCTACCAAAAACTTCAAAAAGATCCAACAAGAAAGCAAAAAAAAAAAATAATAATAATACCTAGGTAAGTTCATTTTAGAAGATCAACCTTCTTTCTTATCAATATCTTCTCTCTCAACCATATCCCCTTCATCATCCATCTCCTGTTTGAGAATTATAGACAAATAACAAAGTAAGTCATCATTTTTGAACTTGTATATGTTTCCGATTAAGCTGAAATTTTCTTGATCTCCCAATCTTTTTCATCTTCAGCATAGTCTTTATTAAGACATAATTTACATTTTTTAACATCTAATTTGAACTATATGCATCCTTGTCATTCTCCAATTTCTTTTTGAGTCAATCCTTTTCATTATTTTGTTTTCCCTAATCCAGAAAATTCAACAGGTGAAGTGGGGTTTCTTTTTCAATAACTCCAATTAGAGGGAAGACAATATTACTCCCTAAAGATTGGCAAGGATGGGTAGAGGTAAAATAGAGCTGAAGAGGATTGAAAACAACACAAGCAGGCAAGTCACCTTCTCCAAGCGAAGATCTGGGCTGCTCAAGAAAACCCAAGAACTTTCAGTGCTTTGTGATGCTCAGATCGGCCTCATCATCTTTTCAAACAAAGGAAAGCTGTTTGAGTACTGCTCTAACCCCCTGAGGTGATCCCATGATATTTCTTGCATCTTTAGGCAATCCCTAGCTTTTTCTTTTTCTGTAGCTTAATTTTTCAGGTTTGCATGCAAGAAAACACCTTTTTGTTTTCCAAGCGGTCAAAACCTTCTTTTCTGGACATCTAATCTTCTTATTATTTCTTGGAGTTAAAGAATAATTTTTGTATGTATCAAAATATAATGCATGAACAAGGTAATTTGACCCCTATTTTTGGTGGTCTAAACTCTAAAACTGCTCTCTCCATGTGCAAAGATCTCAGCTTTTACTTATGTTGGAGTACATGCAACACATGCACCCCCTGCTCTTCTGCTTAATAATGATGGCTTTCATGCTTCTCCAACAAACACTACCAAAAGGGCTAAAAGAGACTAAGTTGAGAACCTTGACTGGTTTGACTAACATGTTTCCATCTTCTGGAAAAAGTTAGGGTTTTGTTATCAAGATATGAATTTTGGTTGGCCACTTCAATTCTTATACCTGATGAACATCTTAACACTATAATCTCACCAAGATGCATGATTAAACTATTTGTGATTTGATAATTGAGAATAAATTACTTTGCTTTTGTACTAAATCCTTCAAACTATACATCATTCTTGGGAAAACACTTCGAAAATTTGACCAAAAATTTAACTCTTATTTTGTTTTTCGCATGCTGGAAGATGCACTTAACATACTAAGATAAATTTTCTTGAGATTTTTCTTTTCTTTCTTGTTTTCATGGAAAGCAATTCATTTTTTTTCACTTCATTTTAGGCTAAAATTCGGAAACAGAAATATTCCCATTTTCTTGGATAAATTTTTTTTTTTTTGTGTTCCTGGGTAAAGTTTTTCTGCTTGTATAGCTTATGGCCAGTTTTATTTTGTGTGTTAATATTTTCTCTTGGGGGTGGGTTTAGTGTCAGCAGGATCAGAAAGACCAGTTCATTTTGATTTACTTTACTTATGTCGGGTATAAAATCAGCCAAATATTAGAAATAATGCTATCAAAAATTTCAAATGGAAATATAAAATTCAAATCTTTAGTCTACTGCAAACTCTTTCTAGGATCTAGATATGCAAAATGCATTGGATTGATAACACATTTCCAGGAATGACTTGGAACACTTGTTATATTGCTCAGTATGGACCAAATCATAGAAAGGTACTTGAAGACTAAAGGAACATCCATTCCAGACCACGAAGACCTTGCAAAATCACACAATGTAAGTAGTATATCATGCTTTTTGCTTTGTGCTGCTCCTCAAATCTCAGTAGCCCTCCATGATGATCCTATTCCTTTGGCCTTACAACTTGCAGGAAAGGGTTTTTGGTGAGCTGAAAAGGATGAAAAGTGAGACCCTTAATCTTCAGTTAAGCCTCCAGCGCTACAAAGGTGATGACTTGAGTTCTGCTCACTATGATGAGCTCAATCAACTCGAGCAGCAGCTTGAACTCTCCGTGACCAAAGTCCGAGCAAGAAAGGTATTTTTCTTTCTTCAATTTTCATAATACATAAATAAGGAATCTTGATTTTCTTGTTCAAATTTCCATCTTCATTTTCTTATTATGATATCATGCACTCTTTGCATAGTTTTCTATTCTTGTTGTTGTGCTGTTTAACTGCTATTAGATGGAGGCAAATCACTATAGAACTTACAGCAGCCAATATTATCCACTTTTGCAGTTTGAACTCTTAGATCAGCAACTGGAGAATCTGAAGCGAACGGTAATAGATGTGGCATTCTAATCCTACTTCTCTCAATGTTTCTTTCTTTTATCAGTTTCAGCAACAATGTATGCGTTTAGGAACCAGCCCTGAATTAAATCCCTCTTTCTTTTCGATTTTTTAGGAAAAGCTTCTGGAGAAAGAAAACCAAGAAATGTGCACTTGGGTAAGTTTTTGATACAGATGGAAGCCTACCGTCACTAAAATGCTACCTGCTTATCTGAATGATCATCAGTCCTATAAAATGTTTAACATCAGTTCTTTTCTTCGAGAAATTTTCATCAAAATTAATTAATTCTATTTTATCATGATGGCTTTTGATCAATAGTCTATACAAAGTTTCACATCTCAATTTTCAATTAAGAAATTAATTAAATCTTAGTAGGAACACCTGTTTCATTCTTGGACAATTTTTGCTTCATTAAACAAGTGTTTCTTGAGCAGTTGATGAGTAATTACTATCAGAAGCAACGTGTGGAACTAGAGCATAGCCATCAACAGGCAATGACTGAATTGAAGCTAGTAGGACAGCATGCTATACTGGATCAATTCCCATTTTCTGGAGAAGAGCAGCCAAGTGAAGTGCTTCAACTTGCTAACCTACCTCTAAACATTCACCAATATCGCCTCCAGCCTATTCAGCCTAATCTCCAGGATTATGGTCAACCAGGCTGCAGCTATGGTACCCATCGCCGCCATCATCCATACACAAAAGTTCATGTTTTAACTTAAGATTGCGTCTAGATTATATGTTAGATGGATTACTATTTACAGTTGAAAGGGATAATATCTGGGGCGTAATACTCCTGTTTGCTTATCACTAATAACTTACCTGCTGCGTTACATTTTTACTAGGATGTTTAGCATTATGTTGTAGTGTGACAGAAATGCCTGAGTAGCCATACTGTCAATTATATAGGGTATGCGTCTCTCTTCCAAAGAATTTTGCTATCATTTTTGGCAGATTATTCATAGCAACTTCATGGCAAACTTGTCATGGATGATGGGATATATCAGTCAAATATAACTTTTGTTGAAAAAATTGTCTTTGGCGTCTTAAATAGAAGTTAAAACTGACTAATAGCCTCTATTTTGACACTCTGATAACTTGTTCTTGACTGCCATGCTATTTTTGCAATTTGCGGTTCATTATGAAGCTGGCCAAAAGTCATGAAGAATTCTTAATTATACGTTATTTACAGTCTGAAATTAGTCAATCGTTCTAAACGGAGTATTAAATCTGTATAGTTGTCGATGAGACAAGTCTTACTGGTGCTTCATCCTTTTCAGGAAACTAGCTATGGCTTCCTCAACTCCTCTGTCGAAGCTCCCAAAGAAGTGGAAAGTTGTGGATAAATCAGTAGTAGTTCTGAGTTTGTGTTTTATACTAGAGCAAATGTGCATTTTACTTGCTCATGGATGTCCTGGATTCCTAGTGTGTTTGAGGTATATAATATATCAATTAGACTTGATTCACAGGTTATGCACAAATTATAGGGTGCTTATAATTACCAAGACATTATGATGTGCTGCTTTTACTTCTCTGAATTCCTCTTCATATTAGGACTTGTGAAAACCAAGATTTCTATCCATCTTGCTGTCCATTCCGCTTTCTACATCCCAGATTTGTCACTTGAACTGTTGAACATCAAGTTCGGCTGTGTACTAGTGATGCAAAAGAACTTTTCAGACAGAAGTCAGCGAGGAAAATAGATTTTTACTTAAAATTTAAGTTTGCTTTCTATCCTAGTTAGCTTAGATTATATGAATCCCCTAAAAATTCGTACGCAATACACTTCATTGCGTTCTATCCCCTAAAAATTCCAGCTACTGGATGTTGTGCACGACTGAGCTGGAATAGGTCATAACATATTCCTACAGAACCTCATTAAAAACGCTGACACTAAAACAGAAGATACCATTCAAAACTAACTTGCTCTATCAGAAAGGTCAATTTAAGAAAAGAATTCAGCCACAAAGGCTCAAAATAGGCCTGAAGAACTTAAAACCATCAATATGCAAGAGAAGTATATTTTAAAACGTCAGCCATAACAAAATTGTGATCTTTCCCAAGGTGCTAAACATAACAACTCAACATTCCGGTCTCGGACAAACTTATAAGCATGTTCAGCAAACAATTGCTGACCAGAATTAGGGAACACACCAAGAAAACACAACTAAGATTAGCGATAACGACGAAGGGAGAGAGTCTGGTTTCTCTTCCAAGTAGCCCTTCTTGATGGTCGTGCTTTGTGGTGCAAGTGCCCCTTTCCACGAAGACCCCTGTATTTCTTCCCTGCTGAAGTAAGTCCACGAAGTTCTCTGTGCTTGTGGACTGGCTGGCACAACCAGTTGATCCTAGGGTCATTGCGGATGGCAGCATGGGCAGGATCAACCAAGATTACCTCATAGTATTTGTAGGTAGAGTCCTGCATTTGAGAGTGCAAGGCATGGAAAATTTTAAGCATTATCTTCATATTCTTAAGAAAAATGATCTGACAAGTCTACTTCAATTACCCATACACATCAAATTCAATGAAGTCCTAATAGACAGTATTCTTGATTGAATTAATGAACAAACTCTCAGGACACACCTCATTGATCCAATAAGAATTGAGAACCCTGAGACCACCCAGTTTCCTTCCAGCTCGCTCCTCTGCAACTGAGCGCTTGCTTCTCTGAAACTTCAGCTGAGTAACACCCTGGTTTGTGGGTTTCCCATATACAATACCCTTGGGAACTGGCCTCTTCCTTCCACCGCGTCTCACCCGTACACGGTAAACCACATAACCCTGAAAAGTAAAATCAATCACTTACTGCATATTAAAAGTTGGGAACTGAAACCCTTAACAAATTGAGTGAGTAATGACAGTGAGCACAACAGAAGAAATATATGAGCACATCACAATTTCGTCTATCATTCAAAATCATCAAGATCATTTCCACACATCACACAATTCATATAACCCAAAATTGCTACTTTAAGGAATTTTACCCCCAAAAGAGATGAATCTACAGTCACATTGTACCAAGCAAAAAAGAAGGAAAATAAAAGAAATGCAAAGCATCAAGGTAGTAGGATTAGATATATTCTCAAACAGATCAGCTTTTGTAGTAGTTCCAGTCTATCAATCTACTTGAACTAAAATAATGCAATGTGCTCGGTAAGGAGATGTCAACTGTAGAGATTCCTTTCTCGAAAGTATCCCACAAAAATTAACCACATTCTATATACAGTCGTAATATCATATAGCTACAGCCATTTATGCAATTCCAAAAAGCTGTACCAATTACAATATCATCCTTTAGGTCCTACAAGTAAGCCTTCAAATTCTTAAAACACTAATCGAACTTTAAAGAAAAAACATAGATTATCACTTGAGCCAAGAAATGGTGCAAGCAAAATTGCAAATGAGCATCTTATAATCTTTCAATTAAATCCCCACAAAATAATGGTTAAGCAAATAATTACGCACAAAATCCAACGAAAAATCATAATTAGCCAACCATTTCCAAACATCTTGTAACATAAGTAGTAATAAAGTCTATCAAGATCCCTAAACAATCAAAATCAGCTGCATTAGTACAAAATCAAAACAACAATTGCAAACTAAAATCCTAAAAACAAAAAATTCACATCACAGAAACTGAAAAAAAAAAAAGGACTATTCCACGGACCTGCTTGGCCTTGTACCCGAGGCGGCGGGCCTTGTCGGGTCGGGTAGGCCTGGTAACCCGGACAATGGAAGGAAGCTGACGATACTCCCAGCAACGAACCCTCAGCAGAAACCTCATCACATCCGATTGCTTCTTCCTCCATAGCTCCGAAACGTAGGTATAAGCCCCTGATTTTACACAGAAATATTTATTAATTAATCAGAAATAATCCCGAAAATGGACGATTTGTTGAATGCAAGAGAGAAATGGTGAAACGGCGCCGTACCCATGGTTGCGTTGATGGTGGAGACGGATCTCTCTCCCTCTAGGGTTTTAGGGCTTCCACTGAGGAGCTGCCGAGAATGAGAGCATTTATATGGTTATGTGAAGAAATGGGCCAAAATGGACTGTAAGTGGACTTTTATGATTTATTGGTCGTGAGTTTGTGATGTGATCTTCAATGAGCCAGCCCAACATTCTTAGATGATCTCACTTTTTAATGTCCAACTTCGGAAACCCTTAGGAGTCTATTTGGATCCATCAGTTTTTGCTAGCTTTTAATAGATGGATTGCACTTTAAAAAAAAAATGTTTTTGTTTGTAAAGTCTACAGTAATAACTCCAAAAATAATTCTCAAAAAAACTCCAAAATATATACACAATTTCAAATACAATTTACAAAAATATTTTAAAAAATTCTATCACATTTTGTTTCCATCCATCACATACTACCTCATCCACCATTGCCACCACTCCTCTCCTTCTCCCTCCTCCATTGTCACTACCACTATCGCCTCTCCCTCTCCCTCTTCATCCCCCTCCTTCCTTCTCCTCCCCTGTCCCCTCCCCTTCCCTACCTTTCCCCAGTTTATTATGTAAAAGTTTTTCACAAATACTATTATAGTAAATCTTTTGATGAATACCCCCATAAACATATAATTCATATGGAGCCAAAAATTTTCTAATTTTGTCTATAGTAACCTCGAAGAGCCCACAAAATTTTCAAAGTACACATCCCATAATACCCAAAAATATACATCCATTCCTCTTTTCTATCACTACCCTCCTTTCTCAACCCTCCTACCTCAGTTTGTCACCCTCGCCACTTCAGTTCCTCTCTTTTTCTCACACACTCTCTCTCTTCCTTTCTCCTCTTCTTCTTTCTCTAGTGTTGTTAGATCTGGACCAGACTAGCTAGTTCGATTTGTTCGACCGTGAACCGGTTCCCTTTCTGAATTGATTAGTAACACAAAATCATTTTGATCAAAAATCAATAAAAAATGTAAAAAATCGGGCACACAAGTGACCTAGTTCTCAAATATTTCTTTCTTGTTTTCCTGAAACATAATTTGGGTTATCTAAATTGTAAAACTTTTATTTATTAATAGGAATAAAAAAAATGCCACCCACTTTGTGAAAACATCAAAATCACTCATTTCCTTAAATAATCTCTAAATCAAGAAATTTTCATCCCTATCATCTTATTAATTTATCATCAGTGATTTCAGCTTGCGTTATAAAGCCATATTCCCAACAAAAAGATCTCAAAGTAGGTATAATTTTTTTAATTTAGTTTTTAAAGTAATTTTGGAGAATGGACATATTTTAGACATAATTTCACAATTATATATATAATTTTTAGGTGTATATTTGATTGCAAGTGTAATATTTTTGTAACATTTTGTATGGTTAATCGAATATAACCAAGAACTTAATTTCAATATTTTTGAAACCTATAAAAATATAAAATCATTGTGACGTTATGCCGACGTCAGTGAGTTTTAAAAAATGGTTCGACCAATTCGATCAGTTAACTCCTAATTCAGTAGTTTAGCGAATCATTATGAGATCCATGTTTAACATCATTGCCTTTCCCCTGCCGAATGTAGACCAAATCCAAAAGAAGGGGGAAAGAAGAAGGAAGAGGGAGAGAGAGAGAGAGAGAGACAAAAAAAAAAGGAGGAGAGATGGTGATGGCATTGGCACTGGGAAAGGTGTTGGGCCCTTGGTGGTTGGAGTATAGGTTGTGGGAGGGACGAAGAAGAAGAAAGAAAAGAAAAGAAAAAAGAAAGAAACATAAAAGGAAAGGAAAAAATAAAAAAGTTTTTCAAATTTTCCACAAAAGTTTTTCTATAAATTCTATAATAAGTTACAATAAAATTTTAGACAAACACTTAAAAAGCTTACCATTCAAACGGTATAAGGGATAATTTCAGAAACCTCCTCTAAAGTTATTGACAATGTCACTTAGCACCCTTTAAGTTAGAAAAAATTTCAATTTTGATTTAATCAAACTTTTGACCGAATTAAAGCAAATTTGGTCCATCAATTTTTGTGAATTTGATTTCAATTAAATTTTGGTTAAAACAATTTCAATTCGATTTTGATCCTAAATATTCAATTGCAATTTTAACCAATTTCATCTCTTTTACATATTTATTTTTTATATTATTCATTCTTAATTTCTCATGCCTTAAGATTTATATGCACCATGTCAAAGTTCATACCCATCCTGTTCTTTAGGTGTTGGATTATGTCACAGCTCATACCCCTCCTGTTTTTTTTTTTTTATATTATTCATTCTTAATTTCTCATTCCTTAAGATTTATATGCATTATGTCATTCTGTATCCAATTCCATTTCCAAAGTATAAACCAAGTGCCCTTTTAGGTGTTGCATAAGATATAGGAAAGATATCTATAGGTGCCTGAGAGGAAAGTTGGTAGCACATAAATAGTTTGAAAATTTGAGCAAAAATATTTGTAAACCAAATTAAATGATTGTCACCTATAGATATCTTATCAGTTATACATGAACTTAAGTAAAGCAACAGCATTTTACTGCTTCATTGTTCTATGGGTGGTATATTTTCGCTAGTGTTTGC